AGCCCCCGCCCCTTCCATAACGCTTCCACTTGCTGCAGTGTTGTGTACTTACACCAATTAACTCGTTGACACTAGTTATATAAGACATATTTAACATTTTTCTTGCTTATCTAAAAAGTTTAAAATCATCTATAATATTGATAGGTGAATATTTCGTGATGTAGAACATGTCGCATGCAAGAAGGCGCATTATACCGCGCATTATACTGACAGCTCAGGAGTCACCTCCGCCATACCCGCTACGAATCTCATTGTTTATAGTTGATTTGTAGAAATTTATATATACATAGTAAACAATCCCCTTATTAAAGCAGCTCTTAAATTGATCGCACTCTTCGCACTCTTCGCTAATTACCTACAGTGTTAATTATCCCTACTGTAATGTAACAATAAACTTCTGAGGAATTTTGAACTGTTATAACAATTGCGCCATATTTATATGATCGTTTTGAAGAAGTCATACTGAATTTATATATAGGATCTGACGGCGACTTTGATGTTAGGTAGGTCGTTAGTTACACGTACACAAGAGCAGTGTGCGCGCTGCCCGCCGCCGCCCCTGCTACCCCCTGCCACCCCCTGCCGCCTCTCTCGGGTACATGCGTCGTGTCTAAGCACGAACTGCCGCCAAAATACGAAAAGTCTTCACTGCTTTATCTATTTCGCACATTTACAGACATTCATATGGTAAATATCAATATTTACGTAAGTACCTAACTTTTTCAATAATAGAAGTCTGATACATGGTACATGAGATTCATCTGATTATTTACCAAATGAATGGTGGTGAATGACCCAAATATATGTCAAATGACGTTTCGTAAATTATTTATAATCATCATCCACTTGCCCTTAACCCTTACGGAGTGTCGGCACATTATGTGCTGCTCTTCCATACATCTCTATCAGCCGTCATATCTGAATCCACTGCTTTCTTCAGCATATCCTCGTAAGTTAATTATAATATGTAATGTATATTGTGTAGTTGTAGCTGTATGTGATACACGGGCTCGCACTGCGCTGAACACGGCCTGCTAGTTACAGCTAGGACAGGACATCCGCTTTTACCTGATTCAAATAATATTACATTACATATAAGAAACAATGTTCTGTAACATTAGTATACTAATGTTTATACTTGCTACTTGTAGAACGAATGTCCCGTTCTAATGTTGGTACACGCGTGTGCGACCCCTGACCCTTGACTATCAGACACCTCACCTCGTAAAGTCATGTTTTCGTCTTGTAATCAAAACGAAAGCAAAGCTTATATTTGGGGGAAACGTTTTAAAAACAAAGATAAGATGAGAGAGCACTAGTTGGCTGCAGCGCTCCACTAACCCTCTCCTCCCGCACCCCCCGCATACGCCACGCACCTCCATATGCTCCCACACCTCCCCTCTCAGGCATGCTTGGAGAAACTACAATTCTCAGGTAAATTTGTGTTCTTATTTTTAGTAATTTTACTATTTGGCTGTGCATTAGTGTTGGTATTTGTAATTCATTACTGTTTACGATCAGTTCGCACTCGAAGATCACACAGACTCACAGCAATGCACGCTCCCAGCTCCGCCACGCACCGCCCCCACCCCCGCCTCCGCCCCCGACCCGCAGATATAACAATTAGACATTCGAAATTACTTTCTATGTTACCATAAACATATGTAATCTCGTCGACGGCACTAGCAATTTAAAATGCATTTGTTGCCGTCCACTGATCCAGCGAGCACGTTCCTTACGGGCATCGCGAGCAAAATTAACCTTGCCGCCTTGATATTGACAACTAAACTACCGCTTATAATGTGATACCGCTTGTATTATACGATGCAAATGTATTAAGATGTATTTGACTGTGCAGCGACGGACCCCAACGCCTGGCGTCTCGGCCGCATCGAGGAGAACGACCACGAGACGCCCGTGTGAGGGCGCGCCGCCCCCGCCCCCGCCCCAGCGCGGGGCCGCGCGCCACGCCCCCGCCCCCGGCCCCGCCTCGCGCCCCACTCCGCGGACAACACTCGCGCGGAACATTGAAGTGAATCGATTGTTTTTCGACTTTTGTTAGATATCTTTCACATTGTATTGACAGTGTAAAGGAACTGTTGACGTTACCGCGAACTATTTGTGTATTCAAATTCTACTGACTTGATTTTATGACTATCGGTGAATACGAGAGAACTAATTTATGTATGTATATGTACAAAATAACTAAAGTATGCGCCGTCGGGGAAGTTTTATATGATTGGGACAAAATGACATCGCGATATCGGCGCGATCCGACCGCGTAAATACTTTTTTGATCCATAGTAATAATCACTACTCCCGTATTTACATTCATGACGTAAAAAAATTAAAATAAGTCAACAAAAGTAAACAATATTCTTATAATGTCAAACAAAATTGAGTTGCGAGGCCTTGCAGTGTCGCTCAATGTCGCGTTATCTATCGTTACCACGTAGTCCGCTTTGGATGCGAAATTGTTACATGTTAAAACTTCTCTAGATGGCGGCAGACTAACTTCAACCCCTACAAATAATTAAAACGTTGGCTGATGTTTATAAGTGCACAAATACGATAGCGATTGGTTCACAAAACTTGCGTTGCAACCCCACATGGATAGCTCGAGTGATTCGACGCTGCGCATCGCAATCGTCTGTTGCAGCGCGAGCTTGGACTCGACAATTTTAAGTCTTGCTCAATGTATGTCTACTGAACTGCCTCATTGAAAATGTTCGTACAATTTAACAGAGAAAGGGAAAGCGATAAGATCCAATTTCACGCCTCCATGAACAGATGTTTTGTAAAGTACATTGTTGACAAATGTTGATTTCTTAAACAAAATTGTCAGCCGCCGTTGGCCGCCACCACGCTGCGGTGCCTGCGACACCAGATGTTAGGAAACTCGAGACAAAAGTTGCGTAAAGCCATTATTTTTTTCAACCTGACAGTGTTACTGTATTGTATTGTGAAAAAGTGAAGGTGATATTAACAATCTCTTCTTTGCTGTAATCAAAATGTCTGAAATGCTTAATTTATGCGGAGAATTTCGATCGTGCCACGACAAAGCATTACCAATAGGGTTTCTTGTATACTATACATACATTTGCGTTTCTGCCATCCCAAAGTTTACTTAGCTTTGATGCACTGCCATTACACGTGATATATGACGTTTGTACAATTGTGAGGACATTGTATTGTTGGTGATATATTTGAATAGCTGCTAGCGGCTAGCGGCTAGCGGCTAGCGGCAGGAGCACATCATTCTATGTCTCGGTGATCTCAAATTATTTAACTGTAATAGAATAGAGTACAAGTAAAATGGCTGTCATTTAAATTTGTGGATTTCTCTAATATAATAATTATAAAAAAAAACTATAATCTAAGGTGCTACTTTTTAAATGAATGAAGTTCAATGATGGTTACCGTGTCCCACCAAACATCCTAAAGAGAGAATGACACAAATTTAAGTGTGCAGAGGATGAGTGGGGGCCAGTGCTCGCTCCACTGATTGCTGTTTGTGATGATTGTTGTAACAGAGTCATTGTAGTACATGTTGAGGTAAATAGAAATTATTAATGAAATAAAAGTAATAATTTGTGTATTCTCTTAGTTTTATTTGGTGTTCAAATAAATAAATGCAATATATTATATATAAAATGTTGTGAATGACTCATCAACTTTAGCTTGCCACATTTGCTCTACCAGGACTCGGTTCAGGAGTCATCGAAGGTCATTCGGCCCACGCCGTGTTGCTTTATGTACCGTCTGTATTGCTTGTATTTATTATTTTCAGCTAGAGCCTTTTTTGCTTCTTCATCTTTGATTTGTTTCCAAACCTTAAAGTTATCTTTGATCCAGAGCTCCTCCTCCAGGAACTGATGTCGCTCCTCGTCCTCCAGCGCATTGAACTGGTGCTGGCCCAGCTTCATGTACTTACGTATTATGTACAGCTTCTCTTCCTCCCCATAAGGCAGCTTCATTATTGTGAACTTCCAGAACCATCTTAGGTACCAATATGCATAATATGAAATGGTGTAAGGCAGGAGAATGAGCTGAATCCATAAAATATCTACAATTTGAGGTTTGGCATAGGCTCCTCTAATGTCCAGGTTCTCTTCTATAACTCTTCGTATGACCCTGTCCTGCTCCATCTTCTGTTCCGCTTTACTTTTCCTAGTAGCTTTTCCTTTGGCATGTGCTTCCTTGGATTCTGCCTTAGCTATTTCCAGTGCTCTGTTCCTATATTTAGGCACGGTCATGAAGTATTTGATGGCTGTGTCGTACTTGGACCAGGCGCTGTAGTACTGGATGACCGAGATGACGGTGATGGTGACGGCGATGACGATCCTCACGTCCACTTTGGGGGCCATGCGCCGCCGGTAGTATCGATAGTAGTGCGCGTAGTACTCCTGTGGGTTGTCCAGCATGTAGTCATAGTCGGACCTCTCCTCGTCATCTCGTAAAATCTCGTACGCCGTGGCTATTTCTTTGAATTTCTCTTCCGCTTCTTTCTTTGCATCAGGCGAGCGATGCATGTCCGGGTGGAATTTCTTGGCCAGCTGTCTGTAGCTTCTGCCGATTTCATTTTTCGTTGCTTCCCTGCTGATTCCTAGAACTTCATAACAATTCTTTTTTCCACAATAAATACCTTCAAGTAAATGATCGGCAGAATACACTGCGATAACTTGACATATTACTGAAAGAACTATTAGTCTACCGTGATATAACAACATTTTGAATTTAAAACATAATTTCTGTTATTAAATAATATATTTATGCACGTCAATTCGAACCAGACTCAAATTTTCTAATGAATTAAACTGCACCTATCCCATTCCGAACTCCACAGGCTGCAAGCTGGCTGTGTCAATCTGTCAATGTCAAGTTAACGTGACGTCGTTTCAACGTCAGCCACAATTTCGACAATAGAGAAGCGGACAAAGAGCCATAACTAGCTAAATAATCCAATCAAAACAAAACTCTGAACTAAACACAGAAAAATAAAAATTTACACTTGGACACGTAATAAATCGCATGTAAACACATTTTTTTCACATCGTGGTACACCATCAACTATCCTTAGGGTACATTATCACTTCTCTTTGTCTCATAATTTTTCAAATTTCCAAAAAAGGTAAATGTGCAATCGCTTTATTGTGTTCGTAGGCCATTTATGTACGTTAAGATGTTGGAGTTAGGATCTGTGAACACGCAGTACACACCTGGCCAGTACAGTTGGTCAGCAGTTTTTAATAACTGAACTGCTAATCAATGACAAGCTATGACTGGCGGAAAGTTCTACTTATTTTAAGACTCCAGCTATTACGCAGCAAATCGTTTAGTGTAAAGCCTAGGCAATGGTTCTGCAGATTGTTGCTTTTATTTTATTATTTGCCCAATCTTCTAAGAACTAGTGTTTTCCGTAAGACCGTTATGACTGACCGCCATCTGGAACAAGTTCCATTTTGTGACTGTAGTTTTGACGAGTCCAAAGTTATTACTGGTTAATATGGACATGCTTCGCCAATACAGTCCCTGTTATGCTTTCGCTACTAACCAACTGTACTGATCAGGTGTGTTGTGTGTGAATCACGCATTAGGCTGAGATTCATTTATGTCCTACATTATATACTCTTTGTTTCTTTGCCACAAGTGTCAAAAAGGGTCAGCTGGCAGTTGTTGATCGGTATGTCACAAAATTTCAAAATAAACTCGTGATAATATAAAAACATTATTTTGAATACTTTTCGATAAACCAGGATTACAATCAAATGAAGAGATTGAAGGTTTTGAAGAATGTGAAGTATCTAACTTTAAAACGATTAATATTGTAAATAATTCACAAGTAGTTAAAGTTATTCAAGACTTATTTGTGTGGTTGTACAGTAATAAACATGAACGATCCTTTGAAAGAATTCACAAAAAATCTTAATAATTTACTAACTGGGCGCGACGAAGACGAACAGGGAACGTTGATTAAAAAACATTCTAGTAACCTGCACGCATTCGGCGAATTTAGTTTCCCTAATACTGTTAAACCATGGCACGAATATATGCATGAAGAAGCAGATTGTAATTTTCTCACATATATTAGGAAAGGTCCTGACGATATCATCAACGCATCAAAAGAATGGAAGTTATCCGTCAAAAACGTAAAGTTCTTTAATGATCGTGTCCATCTGTTTCTGGATCGCCGCACTGCTATACAAGTGGGCTTGGAATGTTGTGCAGCAAACAATAACTGGATTATACAGAAATTAAATGATAAACAAGATGTTGCGTACATAGATCCGTTGTGCGATGGGGCCAGCATAACCGCATTGCGTGTAAAATGTTTAGTACATGCAATTAATGGACTTGTTGCCATCAACTCAAAGGATTTGCCCAAAGCTACAAGAGTAGTTGTCACTTCCAAATCATTGAGCAACTGTGATGAACAGCAAATTGTATTGTGTGGTCCTGTGCTAAATGCAAAAACTAACCTCAAGGAGAATAATTTAAGTGGGGAAGATTTTATCAAGTGAGTTTTATTATTTAAAAAAAAAAAAGTGTATAAAACGAACAGAAATGACAAATGAAAGATCAAAGATGAAAGATGACCTCATAAAGTGTCAATGTGGTAGCGAGAGGATGGTGGTGCTAATGTTAATTTATAAAAATCTAAACACTTGTGTAGTATGTTGTGTACAGTATGCTTTGGTTTTATTTATAAACTGTTTTTATGAACAAAGACATGTGTTTTTAAATACCATCTTCATTTAGATTACGTCAAAATGAGCTGATGCTGATCGCCCAGCACAAATATGGCTTGAGAGCAGGCACGGAGGACAAGTGGCGCGAGTTTATAGCTCACCTTGGGCACTCGGCTGTCACATTTGAGTTGTTGCAGACTCGGCCCAGCTCTGCTGTCAAAATAAACTTTGATGTGTCCACTGGATGTAGCAAAGGTGACCTCCACTAATATCAAAATACCAAATATAATTTTGTACGCATACCTAGGTGTCACATACATAAGTTGGGTATGGTTACATTATACAATCATAATTATAAAATAAATAACTGTTAGTTAATTAAGATGTTAAGTGACCTCACTATACATTAACAGTCATTAATTTGACATTTGTTAACGATTGCATGAGGAAATAATGTTATTTGTGCAGGTGCCGCATTTATTCTGTACAACTGTGCCAGATTGGAGACTGTCATACGAACATTCAATGAGAGAGTTGTTGACGGCACATATCCACCACTACCCCATATCACTAATACTGATTTCTCTTTATTAACTCAAGAGGTAATGATTTTTTTTTGTGTAAATGAACTAGTTGGTTGCCCCATGTTTGTTACTATGCCAACCACTGCATGACATGTTGATCAATTTAATTTGGCATGCGACATGTGAGTTGACACATGTGTCCCATCCTTCATGTGCTTTTAAGTGGTGACTTCTTTATTTGGTCCATTAAGTTATATGTTAAATGATATTAAAAATCTACTTTGTCAAAATTACTTTTTCATTCACCATTGTTTTTTTAAGTCAAAATACAAAAGAGGTGGCTCAATTTGCGAATGGTGTTTATGGTCCTGAGACTGCAAATGCTAATCGCGAGTCATTTCGTTGTAGAATTGTTTCGATATTAAATGTTGAAAGAATGGTTTAGTGGATTTTGTATGAAATTTCATAAATTACGGATGAAAAAATTGAGCAAATATAAAAATTTGCTAAATTAACCACTACGTTAGCATATCTATGGATGTGTTCGCACAATAACCACTTTTTAATTAAAAAATCAACTAAATTGTTTACCTCACTTATAACGCTAGTACTCGTGTTGTGTATAAATCCTTATCCAAATAAATATGTCCACCATCAAGAAAATTTAATGTACATTATAAATGTCTTATGAACTATATTACTCCGAACAATAGTTTAGAAGTTTTCATAGGAAAAAAATTACGAGTCACAGAAAAAATAAACAATTTCTAGTAAAGTTTGCTCTCTTGGCTTACATAGCCTTAACTATAAGACTTACATAAAAACGATATTTGCGAGAATTGTAGCTCATTCAATTTGCTAAATTAAAGTCCGCGATAGCATATATCTTTCTCTTAAGGTTGTCGCACAATAACCGTTTGTTCCCTTACTTTACGACGCTATTATTCTTATTTAATTTAAATTCTTATCCAGATAAATACATTTTTAACATGATGAAAAGATTTCCAGGTTAGAGTATTAAATGTAGATTATAATTCTGGCCAATATTCTAGAAGGTATCAAAATATTAAAAGCCACAGGCGGCGGCGGCGCACAGGCGCGGCTGTTCGCATTTAAATGATCGCAATCATAACACAACCAATAGTAACCGATGTAGATAATTCTTCCGTTGTTTGAAAACCATTGATTATCATATAGCGAAAAAACCTTCCAATAAAATAGTATTGTACAATATATATGTACATAACAGCTACAATAAGGGAGGTTTAAGTAAATCAAGGAATTATTTCGCTACTTTTAGTGTATTTTGTTTGGAAGTCGGTTTTGTTTTTTATTATGTTAAGATGATGATGTCCTCTGTGACGTAATCGTTCGGTTGTTGTTTTTGTCAAGAATATGACAATAAATAAAAATATAACGGACTAGCTGTTGCTCGCGACTTCGCCCGCGTGAAATAACAAATATAACCTATTACGTTCGCCCTTTTATTCAACCTATTACCAAAAGTATTAACGTAGTAGAAATCTACGTACTAACAGAAATCTACCGATGCAAGATTCCAAATTTCTAAGCCCGGTAGCTTGTAAGCTGATTTTTCGGTTACCCTTATTGTTTGTGTTTGCGATGTCTTCTAAACTATTAGTCCAATTTAAATACAGTAAAGGACAATTTTATTCTACATTTAATTCTCCTGATAACAAATGCATTTATTTGGATAAGGATTAATATTGAAACCAATAAAAGAACGTTGCAAATAGCGTAAGGTTTTTAATTCATTTCGTGAACAAAAAAGTTGTTATTGTAAGAGAACTGTTACAGATAGATATATGCTATCGCTGACTTTTCTATAGAAGTTTTTGAGATCTACAATTCTTTCATACATCATTTTTATATACCTCTAACGGTTTAGGCAACGTAAGCCGAGAAAAGTTAAAGTTTAGTAATTTATTGACGCCGGCGTCCAAAAACACGCTGTTTATTAATAGTTCCTAAACATTAGTAATAATAAAATATATCCTATGTTACTCACAGATAAATTACCTTTCTGATGGTGAAAGAATTTTCAAAATCGGTCCAGTTGTTTTTGAGTTATTCCAATACACACAAAAATACAAAGTTTTCCTCTTTATAATATTAGTATAGATAACTTTTCTTCAATGTACTACATAAAAGTTCAGTAAGGGTTGGAGAGTATGATCAAAGTGCTTGCGGGTGCAGGAGGAGTGGGCGCTGGTGCTGGGGTATGCGGCGGGCGCGGCGGGCGCGCTGGCGGGCTGCGGGGCGCAGCCGCACCGCTTGTGCGCCTTCCTCAGCGCCCTGGCGCGCATTCTCAGCCAGTACTACAGGAAAACTAGGATATTGACGGCGAGTTGTTATCTTAAGTCCTCCCTATGGCAAAAATGCTGTCACTGAAAACCCACCTCAGTTCACCTCTACATATACATACAAGAGTCTTCTCTTCTTGTATAGTTATACATTCACTACAATGGGGATGTTTCCTAATGTTACAAATCCAAATAAAGTTATGTTTAATATTTTAAAGACAGCATTTTATAACCTATAATAACATTTAG